TATATATATATATATATATATATATATATATATATATATGTGTGTGTGTGTGTGTGTGTGTGTATGTGTGTTCACGGAAAATGACTCTGCGGGATGCTTCATTTAAATCTGAGACGAAAACTTTCTCACGAGGAGAATGTCGTCGAGATATCGCGGTGGCTTTCGAGCAATTTCGCGGAGGAGTTCGAACATGAAGGGTTTCTTCGCAAAGTGAGTCTCGATGGTGCCGGTGCAGTTAGGAAAACTTCGTTCTCATTTAATTCCCAGTGATAGTTCTCATTTAATTCAAGGGGCTTTATTTCTGTTTTCTTTTTCTTTTTTAATCGAATCTTTTCGCTCCATCTATCTAACTGTCGCGTCAGGAATGAGGGAGCGCGCGCGCGCGCGCGCTTGAAAGCCCGTCAAAGTGTGCGAATCTTTCGCAGTCTTTCATCATGTTGGGAATGTGTTGCGACAGTGAAAACATACGAGGGCGAGCAACTCCATTTGCGGGGCATCCAGCGTCAGGAGATGGGGTCTTACCTCTGTATCGCGTCGAATGGTGTGCCGCCGTCGGTCAGCAAGAGATATTACGTCAATGTCCGTTGTAAGTGCACGCGAGGTACATAACGGCTCGCTCGAGTTGGGCGATTCGCGCGATTCTAATTGCATCTTTCTCGTTGAAGTCAAGCCGCTGATTAAGGTCTCGAATCAGTTGGTCGCGGCACCTGTCGACAGCGACGTCCTTCTTCAGTGCTACGTGGAGTCCTCGCCGAAGGCTCTGAACACGTGGCATAGAAATAATGGTGAGAAACGTCGATGCCCGCGTACAGAGTATTGCACTTACACATACAGGCTAGTGCGACGGGTTGCCTGTGCGTTTCGCTGGTAGGCGAATGTCTGTTAGCGAGACAGGTAGACAACTCGTCATACTGACTTGTGTACAAGCGCAACAACCTATACGTCGAATGTCCGTTATTTTCTTTTTTACGCAATTGCGGACCAAGTTAGACCAAGTGATCATGTCTATGATTGTTCTACTGAATTGTTATTTTCAAGGATAAAAACACAGATTCTTATACTTCAGATTTTCGCTCTGATTTTCTCCGATCATAGATCATGCATTTTTCAACAACTCTGAATAAGTGAGCTATTCTCGCGTTATCATATCATATCAAATAGGCGTAATTAGTTGAAAGAAAAGAATAGAATAGAAAATAAATTGCCCTTTCCAAGTCCCACACTGACAGATAAAGTAAAACAGTCTCGCGATAGAATTATTTCCGAAGATATCCACTTCAGGAATCAAGCTGCTGGAGGATGAGAAGCACGACATATCGGAAGTAACGATCAACGACTATGCATATCAACTAAATCTCACTGTCAGACGTCTCGACCGGTCTGACTTCGGTACTTACACGTGTTCCGCGGAGAACGCTTACGGCAAAGCGGATGGCACCATAAGGCTTCAAGGTACAGTAACAACCGATAGCAAATCTCTCACACGTGACGGATATAATCGCGTTGGATTCGTCGGAAAGTCAAACGTTGCGTGATTTTTCGCTAAATTCGAAGGAAATAATACGCAGCTACAAAGACTTCGATAGTCTTAAAAAAAACTTCCATAGCCGTAGTTTGCACTTTTTATTAAAAACTGACTTTACAAATTACGATTCGCATCTCCTTCCGTATCATACAATATCATACAATATATACATATACTCCTTCATTATCATACAATAACCATCCCTGTTCCCCTCGAAATCGAACTTGCAGAGCTGCACTTGGTGCGATCTACGGTAACTTCCACGATCAATACTGAAGTCGTCGAGAAGCACACCTGGCGGAAGCAAACAGAGAAGAAAGGAAAGAAGTACTCATATGTGGTCGGTAAGCCGGACTCAGAACTGAAGAACGTGGGTCACACTACGCCGATGTCGAGGAGAAACGTGTCGAGTTCTTCGCCGTCAAACGTCGCGAACAAATCGAGGATGTCCGTGTTCCCGGCACCGGCACCGGCGCCGGCACACTCGGCACCCACACAATCGGGTGGTCAAAACGGCGTCAGATCGTTGCGCGACTCGCGACTGCATTGTGTCGGCCTGATGATCCTGGCGATTTTAGCTCGCGATTGAAACGCGGCCGACAGGGCCGTTTTCTCGTGTGAAAAGTGAAGTCATTCGAAATCACGAAATTAGACTGTTCTCAGCGTGATCTCGATTGCCGAAAGGTACATATACATACATACGTATACATGGATGACTTTACGTTTATGATTCGGATCGGAATAATTTTCCTTATCTATATTTTTTGTCCAGATACTGCGAGAACGTATGACGAAGGAAGCGCGAAACACATATCGAGAGCTTCGCTGTAAATAAACACGAGACATTTTTATGACAATAAATGTAGCTGCGTATACACGACAAGTAGATTGCGTCGTTAGAAGTGCGCACTCGTAATTATCATTATTAACCAGTACACATATATTATTCATGGCGACCGCGCTGTCGTGTTTGCCGGAACTCAATTTTTCGTTGGATTACAGGCGGTAAAAGAAGTGACAACGATTTCGGCAGAAGGCGAACACCATCTTTGTATATTCTAGCGATATAGACAAGTCGGGAGAGTCGAGTTCTAATTTGTTCGTGTAAGTATCGCGCGATTAATCGGTAAGCGTAGGTATACACATCGATTAGGGTAAATAAAGAAGGGTCCATGTACCAAAGCTGACTGAAGTGGATTCTTTCGTCTCTAGGAGCAGGCCGTATTTATTTATGTCTAACGAGAGTTGTGGCATTCGTGTATATATGTATGACAATAAATGTTGTTTCTACTATCGCGCAAACGTCGTTTCCACCTTCTTCGCGATTAATTATACAGAGTGCCTCAACGTTCCTTCTCTCTCCCGGATGAAGTCTCCTCTCGACGTAACATTTTTAAATCCTCTTCCGCCTCGCTGAAATATAACATATCGTGCGACTGTGTCAGCTAATGCACATCGATATACACACGGAGAGAATATTATAGTTTTTTTTATATACATTTTTAGAATTTTGCTATGTTTTTAGTAGTCCGGAAATAAACTGTCAGATCTATCTTGCTAACATAGCAAATTTTGCTAGAGACATAGCAAATATTTCAATTCCTGAGATACATTTCAGTTCCTGAGATACATAAGTAGCACAAATAAAATAAAAGGATAATGAATTGCTGCAGAATGACGATCTATTTCTCGATGACAAAATTTTTAATAATATTTTACTATAAAATTCTCCTCGTTTAATAAGATAGTATTATTATTATATTGTTAACACACAATTGCTTTCTGATATCAAAGTATTAAAAAATTAATATAAAATATTTCTGTGAACATTTGTACTTGTTATATCTCATGTATAATTATCGAGTGTGATTTCATGCAATACTACGTGACATTCGGGTGATTAGTAAGAGTACAAAAATAAATGCGCAGAACTTCCATTTAATGAATTACGCAGGCTTATCAAGTCGTTATCATCGACAAGAGGAAGAAGCTGTGAGGATGTGCGTCCGTCCACGTGCTGTTCCCCCGCCGCACGAGAAGCACCGAAACCGCATTGAAGCGCTGAAGATGCTTAGTTAACTGTACGGACTAATCGCGAGCGAATTCGACGACAATGAAGTGTTTGCTGCTAATTTACGCCTTTTACGCGCTCCTCGAAACCGCCTCGTCGACGTCGTCGTGCGCGATAATTACGTCCAAGCACGCAAACACCGTCACTTACCAATGCACTGAATTAACGACGCTGCAAAAATATTTGGACGAAGCGAGGAGCAACACGACGAACATCGTGATTTTCGATTCCAAATTGCCTCACATACAGGGGTAAGCGAAAAATTGCAGGATCCCGCAGAAATCGCCGATAGACCGCTCGGGAAGAATAAAAAGTTGCATAATAATTATATTAAATTAAAAATTAATATAATTGAGTTCCGACGCATAATACAATATAATGTTTTAAACTTTCGTAATCTTTCCCATCTCCGAAATATCTCGTGTCTTCTCCGCGCTTAACATCTGAGCTTTTAAGTATTCATGTTAATTTCTTTTTTTTTCATTACAACTCGCACCAATATGCAAAAAACGAAACCGTCGTATTTTTATGACGTTATTTTGTATTTTGTTTTTCTTTCTTTTTTACTAAAGGCATAGTTTCGCGAGATTTGGCGCCACTTTGGTGATCCTGGACTTGCATGAAAATGGCATAGAGACGTGCGACTCTATGGCATTTGTAGGCCTCACGAAACTGGAAAAACTGATGCTCTGGGGCAATAAATTGACTTTCGTGCCGGGAGATTGGTTCGTGAACATGGGCTCCCTGAATACCTTGGATTTATCGTTCAACTTTATCCAAGGATTCGACTACATAATTTTTCAAATGCTTCGTTATTTAGAGAACTTTTACTTCGACTACAACAAGCTACGCGTTATCGACTACAATATGTTCGCCTACCTGGGTAATCTGAAGAAGGTGAAATTTAGCAAGAATCCGTGGAACTGGGCGTAAGTTACTTTATTATTAATTCTGGGCAGTCCAACGTGGAAGTTCTACTTTTATATGAGCGTCCCGCGCCAATACTGCAAAATTTATTTGAGCCTAAAAAGCCCAACTTTGCTAACTTGCTTTTCTCTCTTTTCTTAAGTACAGAAATTAATGGCGCTGACAAAATGAGATAAACGGCTCTCTTGCCATGAATGTGTCTTTGCCCGGTAACGAGGTTGCCGCATCGTGTACATAAACGCTAACGCATACTGTGCTTCTTTTCAGATATCGCGCTCGCCTGACATGGCAGTTAGAGAACCAGAAGGTCGAGGCGCCGGACGTGTGGGAGGATTGGAACTGGATGAACGTCGTCATCAAGGACTGCGTCGAGAATGGCGAAAGCGAGCTGCCGAGCGACAAAGTCCTCGACTGCGCTGTGGACAAGCTGCTGGCTTTCACGTACAAGACACTCGGCGAACAGGAGAGGAGCGGCATTGCCGGGTGTGGCAAAGAGACTAGAAAACTGGTACGTTGCATGAGACCCAGCAACGTCACCGGCAACAGCGATTACGAAACGGTGCGGAGGATCCTCGAGGATTATTCCGCCGTCTTGCCACCGATGCAAAGGGCGTTGAGTCCCTTTCCGTTGAGGCGATAAGCGACGCTCTGGCTGTATCCTCTCAGAGACTTTTCTTCAGGTAACCTCATGACATTAACGTCGGTTTATTATGTTGATCTGTGGTACCTACAATGTCGCAGGAGATCTTAATCGACACTTTCGTGTGAGTTTCAATGATAGATAAGTCAAAAAAAACAATCAAATACATTTAGTACATAGTTTGAATTTTTTTTGCAAAACATGTCTGAAACAGGTAGAAGATAAAAGACAGAATTGTAAACTCTTACAAAAATTTATTATATTAATAATATATAGCGCTTTCGCGCTATCGATTATATACGAAGATTTATAAAACGAACATGACACAACCTGATCACTTTCAGAGTAGCAGGTTATGTATGCGCCCCAGCTAAAACGAAAATTCCGCACATTCGTTATTTCATTCGAATCAAGCATTGAAATTTAATCTTGTTGCTACTCGTATATAGAAGAACGCCTAAAAGCTCGTATCACTTATGATACGCGTATCCGCTAAATGCGCATTGATTTAAATAAAATAGTAATTCGTAACACAAACACAACTTTGATTGCACATTAACGGTAATGAACAGTTTTATAAAATCTTTTGCAACGCTAACAAGTGTATCAGACTTTTGTGAGTTATAAGTATCATCGTATATAAATAGATATAGTATTTCGGAGATACAGAGAATTAATTGAATTAATAAATTTTTTAAAACAATCGTCGATGCGAATTACGTATTGTGTGATATCTCTTATATAGATTGGAAATTTTATCAAACGTTAAAATTTTACGGTCTTTTTATCAGTTCGAAGTTAAATACATCTTAGGCACTTCTTTGAAGGTATATTGTTTCAAAGTTCAAATTCAAAATCAGTTTCAGTTTCTAAAATTCCATTCAGTTTCTTAACTGAAAGATTTCATCGATAACAGATCGATAATTAATTTAATTGAGTTAAAGATCAGACGTTGGTAGGTAATAGAGGGGAGACTCATTCAATCTTTCTCGTGCGAGCGCATCGATAGATTCTATGCGCGGTAGCAATGGCTGATTAAAAAAGGAAGTAAATACGAACGGCCGCAAATCTGGTCGTAAATTTAATTTTGTGCTATTCCTGGCTGCCAAGTAATCGGCACAGCAATCATAGGATTAACGTCCATTTCTGGTTGGATGTAATAGTGGTCGGTTGGTTGCTCCGCTGTGAAAATACCTGAAAAACAGAATTAAAGTGCGACGCATATTATGTACTGCGAGAGATAAAAATATTTTCCCGAGACGAGCGAGGCGCAAATAAAATTTCGCGGTGAACGGACTTGTTGATTATCGTCGAAAGAATAAATTTTATAAATATTTCGAATATTGGTACAAACGCGCGTTTCATCGCAGTATTAATCCGAGTGAAAACATTTTGTCAAAGTCCTTCGATTTAACGTGCAAACAGAGAAGAAAATAATCACAACGCAACAGCAAGCCAGGCAATACATACCGTAATTTGCGAACATGCTCGTTAAACAGTGATACATTTCCACTGACGCCGAGCTGATGGCTCTGTGCTTCGAGGTCATCGGCTCCCCGCGAAACTCGAAAAGTACCGTCTCCTCTTTGTAAGTGGTTATCTAAAATAACGCGACGAGACGACAAAAAAAGCGTTAAACACGACAAATAACACAGGAACGGCGAGACGGACGAAGTGTGATCTGGAAACTCTCTTACTTTGCCCACATATTTGGTCTCATTCTGTACCGGCACGCAGTTGAACACGCATATCGCGTTATATCGCTCTCTAATGAAATTTTGCAAGATCTCCATCTGCATCAAATGAACACCTTCGTTCTCGCTTACTTTCACGTGTGCCTTCGTGCGACGTTTCTTGACGTGAGTTTGCTTCACAGTGTTTTGCGTATTTGAAATGGCCACAGCCTCGCGAATGTGCTTTTGTCTCTCTATAATCTTAGATGCTCCGATAGGCTTCGCCCAGCGGATCTCCCAGCCCTCTTTCTCGACCACGCTGTTCGGCTCTAAAATAAATATGCACATTAGACGGAAATCCCTCAACGTCGATGCAAGCATTCGTATGCAATGAAGTTCTTATTGTGAGCCGGACATGAATCAATAACATTAACTCGGCATGCTTTGATTTATAAAAAAAAAAAAAGAAAAAAAAACAAACGTGATGGAAAATAACTTTATGAAAAAAACGTCATCGAAAATATTTCATAGAGGAAAATTTATCGAAAAATAATTTCGAGGCTCTAATTTCGGGCGGCACGCGTTATTAAAACTCGCGAAATACCAGGCTGCGTAATTTGTGACATGTGCTGATTAATTGCTCCTACTAACTGTTATATCTTTGCCTTTTTTTTAGGACACGTCACACGTCCCCTGAAATCGTTGCGTTAAGCGTCTTCTACAATGGCAGTAGGAGTAGTAGTAAGAAATAAGCAGTAAGTAAATAGACCAATCACAATCGATTATTTTTAAAACGTGAGAATGGAATTGGTCAATTTGCTTACTGCTTATTTCTTACTACTACTCCTACTGCCATTGTAGAAGACGCTTTACGTTTCGCTCACTACTGACGTTCGAGATTTCGTCCCTCGATTCTGATTAGCGCCGCTGGCATACTCACTCTGCATTATGTCCATTACGGTCTGCGCGGCTTTGCGATTCTCGTAGTGAATAAAAGCGAAGTGATTGATCTTCTTCAGCTTTAGTATCGGCATATTCGTATGCCTGTGGAAGATCTCCCTCACTTTTTGCTGCGACATTTCAAGCGCGAGATTCCTCACGAACAGGGCCGTCACCTATTTGTCATCGGATGCATATCAAATTAGTGCGATATGTTTGGTCTACACAATAATGTGGTCAGGTATTCTAATATGCCCTCATTTTTACGAAATATTTTTACTTCATTATACACGAAATGGAGGTTCCTAGAAGGATCAACTACTTCTTTTCGTCAGAGAGATATTCTTTGTAGTGAAATACGAAAAGTTTCTTCAATTAGAAATTGACCGATTTATCTAAGGAGTTCACCCGCTTAAATGCAATATTTATTATAGTAAAACATGTAAATATATGAAAACGTAATTTAACCTTGCGATTTCCCCTGCAACTGCAGGTCGCAACCTAAACTAACTCCTCTCTCTTTCTCTTTAACATGCCACTGAAAATACATCTTTGATGAATAAACTCCTTAACGTAAAAAGCGGATTTTTAAATAAAAATTATTTTATATTTACAACATCAAATTAATTAAAACTCTGAGAAGTGTTATATACTAGAAACAAATATGTAATTTTCAACGTTCGGGCGATCTGGTAAAAGAGCGAGTAATAAATATGCATTAAACGTGGAGCGGATGCAATTTAGTATTTTTCATTCTTTTCGCGTTGTATGCTTTTGTAATTACACAGAACGAGATACGTGCCCCAATGTATCGAACCTCCATTTCAGTAATACGCGTGTATATTCACTGAAACGTAGTATTACATTCTCATTTCTTTCCCCTTATCGCTCACTGCTCAAATATCATTCAATTCCCGCTGCACAGCAAACTACGTCGTCGAAGCGCGAAACGATCTGATAAAAAAAATTCGCGTACTCTCAATCAAAGAGAAGAGAGAGCCGCAGATGAAATCGCACGAAAAAGCGGAGCGATCCGCAAGTATCACCGTTTCCATGATGTCCTCGTCGACTGGGTCGCCCGGTTCCGGGTCCGCCCAGTCGACGGCGATCTCGTGGTCCCACAGCATCACCTTGCCCGGTATCAGCTTGCGCCGGGCCATCGCGGCCGCCCGATGGTCCTTGAACTCGACGAAGATGAAGCCACGGTTGAGGCTGCGGTCGTGCGCGCTCGGATACAGGTAGACGTCGACGATGCCGTCCAGTATCTTGGTCAGCTCCGACATGAATTCCTCCTTGGACTTTGTCTTGGGCACGCCGCCGAAGAAGAGCCGGCAGTTGTCCATGGACTTGACCACGCCGATGCGATGCCCCGGCCGGATCTCGTGGCCGTCGAGAACGGAGCACGCCTTCCGCGCGATCCGCGGTTCCTCGTACAGGGCGAACGCGTAGCCACGCGTCGACCCGGAGAAGTCCAGCATCAGCCGCAGCTCCAGCAGCCGGCCGACCTTCTCCAGCACCGGCATCAGTTCGTCCTCGTAGCAGTCGCGCGGCAACCGGCCCAGGAACACTTCCGCGCCTTTACCGCGTGGACGTCGACCGTGCGCAACTTCCGGCGCCGTCAGGCGTCGTTGACCGTTTTCCTGCAAAGCAGGATTATCAGGTATTTTCTCTCCCTCCTTCCTTTCTTTTTTTTCTCTCTCTCTCTCACTCTCTTTCTCTCTTTCTCTCCCATCCTCTCTCTCCCATTCTCTCTCTCTCTCCCATTCTCTCGCTCCCTTTGATTTGTACGCGACCGGTATAATGTGGGATAACAGCAAGCTGAAAATTTTGAATTCGGAATTTTTCAAAGAACAAAAAATCTCACCGACCTTCAGCGTGCGGATTCTCCCGCATCGCAGGGATGATCGTATCTTTTTGCATGCGAGCGAGGGGAGAGAAAAGCAAGCGGGGCGTCTGCAATTTTTGAAAGGGCAAAAAATCTTTCACCGACACGAACTTTCGGCACGGAGGGATGATCATATTTTCTTCCGCGCAACTGAACTGGTAGATAAAAGAATTGGGCTGCATTTAAAATTTTCAGGACGAACAATTTCGCGATATCGGTTTTTACGAACGATCTCTTTACCGGTGACAGTAATTTTCATGGTGAGAAATTGAGACGCATTTGAAATTTTCAGAAGAACGAAAAATTTCGTGATATCAGCTTTTACGAGCGATCCCTTTACCGGTGACATTAATTTTCACGGCTGCAGACATACACAGTTGCACAGTATTAATCTCTCGTCCTGAAGATTACATTTTACCGACTCAATTTATTATCACTTATTCGTCTTGCACGTCGCACAGAGGATTTGCGTGATCCGCTTCGCATTCTCCCTGCAACGTTCAAGCACGCGACACTTGCCACTGTTCCGATAGTGATATTACACATTCAACACTTCTCAAGTATGCACTTGCAGAACAAATCGTGCAACTTGTTCACCCTGAATACTTCTGTCACTTTAAATAATTCCGTGTTTTCAAGAAGCCCGTGCACTTACTCCACGATACGTTCTGCATGAAATTTCCTCTCTCTCGGCGTTCTCACAAAATCTCACGTCTAATTTCATCATAACTGCGTCAATTATCAAGCGGATAACAAACGTAACTCGCGATATAAAAAGAGATACCTCCGTCGAATACCGTCGTTTCATCTTACGTGGTAAGATCGGCCACGAGAAACAATTGTGCCGGCGCGGTTACCAGAAGGAAGAAGAGGATGCATGTTGGGAAGAAAAGAAGAGAACATCGTTCTACCTGCACGAGCTCGTAGTGCGTGCGTTGCAGCATCTCCAGGAGTCGCAGCGTACGCCGGCACTCGCCGGCAACATTGTTCACGGCGTCACCCATCGTCGTCGTCATTTGTTCGTAGCTTACTGCACGTTTATTCGAAGATGTATAGCGGGTTGCGTCAAACCGCTGTAGAGTGGGGCGTGGGGAGATGAGCTTCGTCGATTTCCAGGAAATGTTCCGCGATCGGATTCTAAGAACCGTACGCGGCAGTGAGCTTTTGCTCGACGAGAGCGCGTCCGACGCTTATCGTTTCAGGAACGTCCACGCTCTCGGCGGTTGGCACTCATACACGATGTGAAAATTTCTAAACTTACTCTTAACACACTGTTCGCTTTGTACCTAATTTTCTCTAATGCTGTGTCTAATTATGTGGAATATAAAAGACCAGAGGAGCAGAATTTTTCTTATCGTAAATGTAATCGGTTATTATTATGAATATGCGAACCAAATAATTATGTTGGAATTTAATTTAGAATGCTTTTCCGAAATAAGACATTTCGCATTTATAACATATATTTTCGATATTAAAATGTTGGCCATTAATCGACCAAAATATTAGCGGACTGAAATAATCGATCAATATAATCAAGATTAATCAATGATACAAAACTTATCAATCGTCATATATGAAATTAGGAATAACTGAATCGATGAAATTAATTATCAATTAAACTTTGATTTGATTAATTACATTGACTAATAATTCATCAGCTAATTAAATTATTCGTGATTACACATATAATGATGAATATGATGATGAGTTTGATTATTAATTTGCCGATTATTCCAGTCAATTAATGTCCAACATTACTTTTCAAGATTACATTAAACATAACGTTAATTATCAGAAAAGAATATTTTTATAAAATGTATATATTTAAACTTCATATGGAATTATTCGTACAGATTCGATATTCCAATTTGTAGATCTTGTTTGATTTTCTTTATCATATATGTCTTTTCGAACAAAAGCAAAGCAGATGTCAGTATTTGCTGGAGAAATACTAGTTGATGGTAAGGTTCAGTCGATAATAGATGTAGAATTTTACGTGTGGGAGTGACGTACAGCTGATCTTATCAAACGCAATACTTAGCTAAGTAGAAATTACTAGATTATAATTATTCATTAAAATATATAACATAACATATACTTACATACTTAGTGTAGTACACTAATTATCACTCATAAAATGTACATAAAATGCAACATGTTATCATAGCTTACTTCATAAAAAGATCTACAAAATTCGTTGTTAATACTTGGAAAATATATTTAATAAAATAGTAAATTTTATGCAGTACATTATAAATTACATAGCGAATGATATTTGTAAAGTACATTAATTCTTTCATATTTACATCATAATTTTAAAAAGGCAGTAATATCAGTAATGAAGCACACCAGATTGTGACTCCAAAATTAGTTTTCTTACAATCATAAGCTGTCCATATCACAATCTATACATTTGAGGTTGTTGATCGCATTGTAGAGCGCTTTTTGCGATACAGATGCTCCATTATTGAGATAAGAATTAAATCTCTTATAGTCTTTGGCCAACTGATGAATTTTGTTACTGATATCTGGGCATATGACGCTACTGTCAATTATGTGACTCAGCCTGTCGACATCCTCCACACAGAACGAAAATTGTTCTATCAGCTGTAACTCCTCCTTCAATGCTGCATTCAATATAGTCGCCTGGAAAAAAACGCCGAAGTTATATAATGGTTAAATGCCTTGGTACCCATATATACTGGGCATATTAAGTGGCAGCAGCAACAACAGTTTCCTAGTAGTTAAAGCCTTTAACGATCTATAATTCACGACTCTACTTATAATTTTATATACTGTGTAATACAAACAGCATCTTGAGACTTGTAGATGTGTACATAGATTATTTAGAGAGCATAAGGATGCCTTGTATACATACTCTTTTTGCTCTTTGTTGGAAATCATTTAACTTCTTTTGCACATTTTCAAACTCAGCCTCTGTGTACTGTGTTGCCTGAAGTTTATCTTCATTAGATAGAATATGAGAAGGTACTGCGATGAATCTGTTGATGTTATTCTAAGGAAAGTGAAACAGGGATTATGTTGCATGGGTAATTATAATTTTTAAAATTTTATAATTGTTACATATATATACAAAATATGTATTTGGAAAATATATTACCTCAATGTTTTTCAAATAAGGCAAAGAAGCTGTATGATAGGCTTTTATAAGTTGCTCTTCGTTCATCCTTAGTACCGTCAGATTTTCAGGTTCTAGTTCGTATTGTTTTTCCAAAGTTTCACACAACTTTTTGCTCTTGGACTGTATTCTTTTCATTATAATACTTTTGACTACACAGACAAAAGAGAAAGCAGAATCAATATGAGTAGCCAAGCAAATTCTTTATTAATAATTGCATTATGCGCTTTGGAAAAAAAATGTTGCTATATCTTTAATTACTTTTCTCAAGAAATACAATCAATATGTATAACGGTTTACAAATTCATGCAACTTACAGAAGCAACAAACTACAAGAGCCAAAGGAATAAAGCAAAAATTGCGCGACGCTCTCACAATGAAAATAAAATCAAGAAAAAAAGCCAGCCGAGAGGATAAAGGACGCTTTCAGGGACACGTTTCCGGCTCGTCTTTCGATGCCGTCGTCGGTTCCGCACGTTTTCCTCGTCGCGTCTTCGGACTCGCGTCGCTCTTTGTGACAATTTCCCGCGGCATGCGACGAAGATGTCCCGGTCGCTGGACGAGTGTGACTCTAGTCATGATCGTGCACCACATGAAACTAGAGCACACCCATCCAGCGACCCACAGGACCACAGACGGGGCATCCGTCGTTGGGTAGACACGATGCGAATCTGAAAGAGCATAAAAGACTGCGACTTACGAGTCGCGTACACGGCCCTGGAATGGAAGCCGAACAGCTGCATCTCGTATTCCTCGTGTTTGCGCTTCCGCGACTCCATGCTGGCGAGTCGGACGAGAAAAGCGAGGAATCCTCGATCAGTCGGGTTCCACCTCGTCCGCTTGGCCCCTCCGCGACGACGACGGTGACGAGAACGATGACGGCGGCGGATGGCAGATGCTCGCTCCTTCCGCACGGGAACACCTTGACGTCCGTTGACAAATGAACATGGCGTCGTTCTGCCTGCATACGAAAGCGTCCTTTGTCCCGTCCGCGTTCGTCAAAGCACCGATGCCGGCGTGTGGCGCTGCACGCGGGATCACGGAAACAGCCAATCGGCTTGTTCGACCGAATAACCGACGCCGACGAGATAATAGGAAGTTTTTGCAAACATACGGTATAGATACGGTAAACGCTAAAATGACGTCATCGAGTCAAAAGACCAAACTGCGCATGCGCATCGATTACTTTAACGCTATTCAGAAATAACGTGCGAACGTTATTTCTGAAAAATAGCGTTCACGAGTATCGTCGACGTTGTGGCTATCAAAATGAAATCTGAACGATTGAGATTCACAAGTCAAGATAATCTCATACTTTTAAAGGAGATTATATCCCAAAATCCATGAAGAGAGTGAAAAATCTCCATCTTATTATAAAATATCTGTTTTATCGTACGTTACCGTAACATTTACCGTACAAAAACTCTTTTGAAGTAGGCGACGTAAAAATGGAATACAGTATGAAGTCACGTGACTTCAGCGTTTACCGTATTTAAAATACGAAATTGCAAAAACTCCCTAATATTAAAAGACCGTTGCGCTTACGAAATTTTACATATCAAAAAATCCCGCTATTACGATAATCTGTTGATGGTAAATTTGTCGGTAAAAATCAGTGTAGATAATCAGTAAAGGAATGCAGTTTTATAAAAATATCTAATATACTTTATTGTAGATCTGTCCACATAATGATAAAACATCACAAGAAATAATAGTAAATTATATAATTAATTATGCAATTAATACTTTATTATATCCGTTTTCCACTAGAGTTTGCTGCATTTACGTTTGCATCTATAGTTGTCTTTCGACCAATCAGGAGGTAACTGCTGGCTACTGGATTGGTCAAGAGACTATTGTAAACGCAAACGCGACATAGTGAGATCGTCAATTTTATATGTATTATTAATTGTAATTGTATTAGTGTGATACGAGCATTATACACTGAATGTTCATTTATGTTAGATTGCTAAAACTAATCGGTAATGTAATCCTTTCTTGAAACCTCTTTCGCTAGTACGAAAATTTACTTAGGGTCGACGGTCTTTAATAATATCGATGACCAAAGCGCTACTGCGATGTTTGCTACATTCATGCGGTTTAATTGACGAAAGATCCGTTAGATGGCAGCGCCATACGCGTCTCGGCAGATTTCAAATTAAACGGTCGGGCTCCTTCTTTCTTTTTTGTAATCTTGGGGATAGAATTGCCGCGGGACGATTGCTTACGATTTCAAAAGGTAATAAGCAGGAAAAATAACGTGAAAAACGCGTGTATATTGTTGCGTTTTATTCCGTGTGCACCATTTTATGTCGGATCTCATTTGTGACGCATTCTTTGTAATGCATATCGAATTAGGCTTGAGCTTTACCGTAACGTAACCTCTCGCAACAATCCGACAAGTATCAGTCGATTAATGGCAAGTTATTTCGCCGTTGGAATTCTCATATGCGAATATCTGTCATATTAATAAATTTACTCGTAATTCGCGCTGGTATTTGTGAAGATAATGATAATTGCGAGCGAGGCTCTTATCGTAGCTCTTAGCGTTATTGGCAGAAGCTAGTTTTACGTATTTTCTGTCACGACATTATCGACATAGTTGAATAAAAATACTTGCCGTGTGATAATTCCGCACGTAAATCCTCTTATAGAGATATTCTTATAGCGTCAATAGGAAAATTAAAACGCATAATTTATAAGCGAGTCGAAATTAACGTAAATCAGAGAGTCACCATTCATAATTTTCATATTTCTTTTCGATACTCTTTGTATCGTAAACCATTAAAAGACAAGGTGAATTGAAGGCATTCTCTCAGTAAAAATGTTAATTTCACTCGCGTGATCTTACGTGTGTCTTTACGAAACAATAACGACAATGTCGCAATGAAGCGTAGTCGGATGAATCACGTCTTCTGTATGCATTCGTATATGTGTGGTTAATATTGGAACAACATTTCTAATGTAATTCGCTCCTTTCGCAACTCTTCCCGATGACCGTATGTCTATTTTAAGGGAAGAGGTAATTCGCGAATAAAGCGTTAGCCTTTCATGATTCCTGAAAGTACAGTTTTTCCTCGAGTCTGTTGAACAAATTGACGCGAGACCGGATATGGTATTTCTCACAATAAAATAATGTGTATTATGTCTTTCTTTCCGCCTGAAAAAGGCGGCTGTTTAACCACCGCCGTCCAATTGTACACCTTCTGCATGACATCACTATTTTTTACGACGGCATTAGTCACGCCGTTGATAAGTTGTACTCACCCAACACCATAACGACCATAACGACCATAACATTATGTCGATATGGTCAGCTCCAAAAAAAGGAGGTTATTTAACGTCGCAACTGCATGCGATAATTATCATGATCGCGACGTGATTCACCCCGCTAATGCGTACAGTTATTATTTTATTTGAAACCGCGGTGAAACGACTGTAAATTGGAGAGACTCCAGCGAACTTGCGGAAAAATGAACTCTTTTTCTTTTGTAGAAGAAGAAAATTAATTTTTCGAGGATGAAAAAATTAATTATATTCCGAGAATGTGGACTCCCCTTATAGAAATATCATACTAAGAATCATTGATAATTACTTATTTTCAGTATTAAAAATACTGGATAATAAGTAATTATCAATGATTCTTAATATGATATTTTTATAAGAGTCGCGCACAGGGACATGTTTTTACGTCGTTAGATATCGATAAATATTCACTTATGCTGCAATTTTAAGCAGAATCGTAAGTCTTGTAACTTGTTCTCGTAAAATTCGTCAGAACTTGTGAGTAGATTTACAAGTCTATGCAATATCATATGTCGTACAATCACTTGTAAATATCGTAAATTATATGAAATCGTAGATATTTACGAGTAATTGTACGACATATGATATTGCATAGATTTGTAAATCTACTCATAAGTTCTGACGAATTTTACGAGAACAAGTTACGAGATTTATGATTCTGCTTAGAATTGCAGCATTAGTGTATACAATTATGAAACAACTTGAGACGAATTACTTGCTAAGCGATCGTGGGAGCAGCTTGCCCTCTCTGATAGTTGTGCAAAATTTCCTGTCAATGACTCACATTTCTCTTTTTTCGCAGGTGACCAGTCCGAACTCGACGTAGGAGAAGAATGCTGGACGTAGCCTTCGAGGAACAGGACACGTCGTCCTTCGCGGCTGCAGAAGTGGCGTCGGTGTTTACACAGAAAGCTGGAATCAAACGTTTATGCTGTCATCGTGTCTTACACGATAAGGTGAGTGGATAAAGCGACGATTACGAGAGGTTGCGGTGTTCGTCACAAATCCATGTATCGTAAGTGCTGGTAAGTGATCGCCGGTATGCCGCTTGTTTTATGCTAGGAGTGTCCACGAGAAAATCTATCCACCTACTTACATTCGCGTTCTTACGATCGACTTTGGCAATGGTGAGGCCGCGACGGATTTATCGAATCGTAAAACATCGGTAAACCAGCGGTATATAAGCATTAACTAAATCCTGCGACTATGTCGAGTGAAATAATGCACACTATAACGGACGTGTAAAAGCAAAATTCTTCACGATACGAAATTTACGGGAAATTTAGAAGGAAATTCTCCCAAGCGAATTAATTCGATCTCTTTCGTTATCTCGCATGTTTTGATTTATTTAATGATAAACAGACTTCGCGATCTTAAAATTTCTAAATCTGACGATTGCAATCTTTTATCTTCGCATATACACATGATACATGCACTCTTAAATTACATCGCGATAAGGCTAGATCCTTAAGTTGATCTTGATCCTAAAATACAATTAAGATTATATCGACTTCTTATCAATAAGAAATGCTTTATTCGTTTCCGCATGTTCACTCATAACTCAAACTTCAATAAAAATGCAAAAGTCTTTTCCAATCTCCAGTCTTTTCCGATATCACATTAAGAATCGCATTAATCTTATTTTGCATCTCGTTACGTGTCATTTACAAATAACGATATCCAGCGAATATCGGCGTTTCCAATTCAATTTTGCAATCAACAGATGCAATCAATTTATCTGAATCTCAGAATTTCTTTCCAACAAACGCAATTTATACCCTTAAGATTTCCCATAAAATTCTGCCAAATGATACGAATCTTTTATTACAGTAGACAATATTCATAACATCAAACCGAAAGCAATGCAATTAATGTCATTCGTTAAAATTGAGCGATATAAAGGGTCGTTTACAAACATATATAATATAATATAGTATACAATGATATATTTACAAAATACACATCACCGGGAGATATATATATATATATATATATATATATATATTTAAGTACACACGTGGAGCAACGCGCGGCTCATACACACGCGCGCACACATACACATACCCCCACTCGTACGTACGTGCATGTGTACACGCCGAGACTCGACGACTGCGCAGCCAGGCCGCGCAAGTCCCCGTAAAAAGCCGGGGGCGCGATTCCGCGTCGTTCTTCGGCTCTTCGTGCACCACGCGCGCGCTCGCTTGCACGCTCAGTTTATATTCGGTATTCGATCAGATTCAGTTGAAGCGCGGGTGTTTTGCAGGGCGTTCAATCGGAAGCCGGTTGTACCCGTGCGTCTCTCGCGTCGATCAAGACACGGCGTTCTTCACACGGCGACCAGAGGAATTTAACCTTCGCGCGAGATTCGGTCGGAACGGGCGGACGGACGGTCGGAGGGAGAGGAGTGGTGCGCATTGTGCCATTAGTTGTCAAGTGATTTAAAAAAGAGGAAGACCGACGACGCGGGAAGATGCTGCCGCCGCGAATACTCGGTCTGCTGGTGCTTCTTCTCGCCGTGCAGGGTGAGTTATTTCATGAACGAATCACTCTCCTCGTTTCTCGTCTCGCGGAGCGTCGCGCGTCGGTCGAAGTGCGATTGTGATCTTAACGTGTAAGTAAAATGCCGAGGAACTTTACAAAACAAGCGAACCACTGCGCGCAACGAGTAAATTGTTCAAAGGTCAACGGCAAT